ATTGTATTTCTGATATCTTCTCCAACTTCTTCAAAATTTCTTATCATACAGGTTTTTTGCTTGCTTAATGAGAGTTAAGCCAATATGTTTTATATTATTTACACTACTGTGGAGGTGTTTTTTCATTATTTCTTTCTCAGTCTGCTTATTGTTTACATTTAGGAGGGCTACTGATCTTTTGAGTCAATCTTATATCTGGTCACTTCACTTATTAGCTGTAGGAGTTCCCTGGTAGAATTTTTTTTGGTTTGGAGACAGGTGTCCCTGTGAAAACAAAAGCAAAACACTTCCATTCCTTTGTGAGGTCACCTTACATGTTGTAGAATATGACTTTGTGAATGAGCTGTCATCTTCCTCCTCTGAGATTTCTCCTGTTCAGATGGAATCTTGATTAATTTTGATGGAATCCAAAGTTTTTCTTCTCCCATGGAAACAATGGCAAAACCCCTTCCCCAACATAACACATATCCTGGTTTCCAAACTGAGGCCATAACATCCTTGAAACGCAATGGTTGGTTTTGTTCAGAAGTTTTTTCTGTAGTCCAGCGTTTTCTGCAGCTGTTTGTCCTTTCTCATTAGCACTAAGAAGGCTGTGCTTTAGTAAAGCATTATGTAATCTGTTTGGTGGTCTTTGCGCTGCCTGTCTGTTTATGAAGCATTTCTTTTAGGGTGTGGTTAGATTTCTCAACCACTGATTGTCCATAGGGTTATAATGTATATTGGTTATGTGTTTTATGTTATAATATTTGAAAAGCTGTTCCAATTTGCTGGAGATGTGCTGGAGCATTGTGAGTTTTTATTTGTGTAGGTATACCCATAACAGCCATCACCTCTAAGAGGTGTGTAATAACAGAATTAGCTTTTTCAGATCTGAGGGCAGTAACCCGTTGGAAGCCTGAGAATGTGTTTATGGTATGGTGTACATATTTCAAACTGCCAAATTCTGGAAAGTGAAATGCATCCATTTGCCGAAATTCATTTTTGTGAATACCTTTGGGATTACTGCCTCCTGGTAATGGAGTTTGACTGCAGAATAAACAGGTGGGGCAGTTTCTTACTATTCCCTTGGCTTGTTGCCAAGTGATAGAAAAATCCTTCTTTAAGCCTTTGCTGTTAACATGGTGTTTCTTATGAAATTCTGAAGCTCCCAACAAATTTCCTATTAATAAACTATCACTCTCACCATTGCTTTTGCTAGAGGACCTGGCAGACCATTATGGGATCTGATGTGTGTTATATAGGATGAGTTCTATTTCTGATGGTTTCCTGTAATTGCAGAAACAATGAGGTTAATTGTATATCATCAGGAATGAATTCTGCAGTATTAGAGTGTAAGACAACTCTCTTTGCATATTGAGAATCTGTAACTATATTGAGAGGCTCTGTAAAGTCTTTAAGTACCATGAGAATAGTGTACAATGCTGCCTTTTGTAGAGAGTTGTAAGGTCTTTGGACTACTTTACTTATATTTCCTGATTTATATCCTGCCTTACCTGACTTGTTTGCATCAGTGTAGAAAGTAAGAACACCAGAGATAGGTGTTTTTCTTATAATACACAGAAGAAATCAAATTGTTTTCTTTATGAATTTGATTCTCTCTTTTTGGATAATTGTTACTAATTGTTCACAAAAAGTCACTGCAAACCCTTTGCCAATATTCATTATTTTTCCATAAGGTAGAAATTCTCTCATTTGTTAAAGGTACAGTAATCTCTGCTGTGTCCTTTCCACTTAGTTGACAAAGCCTTAACTTACCTTTTAATATCAAATGAGAGATCTTTTCTATATATGTCTTCAGTTTTTTATCCTGTTTATGTGGCAGAAATACCCATTCCAGTATGATGTCTTCCCTATGCATTAATCTTCCAAGGGGGTATTCTTAAGATGGTAAAATAAGCATAATGCAGTCTAGTTTTGGGTCCACATGGTCCACATGTGCTTCCAATATTCTCTGTTCTACCCATTCTAATTCTTTTTCAGCCTCAACTGATAATATTTTAGGATTATTTCAGTCCTTGTCTCTGTTTAGGGCCATTTTCAGGTGTTTTAAATCATACCCTTCTATTCCAATAATTGTCTGTAGTTGAGAAATTTCTCCTAGTAGTTGTTGAAGATCATTAAGAGTCTGGTAACAATCTCTTCTGATCTGTACTTTTTGCGGTTTAATTTCTGTAGGTCTATTTTATAACCTAAATAATTAATAGAATCTCCTCTTTGTATTTTTTTCTGGGGCAATCTGTAATTCCCAGTGAGGTAAAGTTTCTTTTACAGCCTCAAAATTCTTTTCCAATGTACTTTCTTTCGAATCAGCCAACAATATATCCGTCCATATAATGGTAGTTTATGTATTGTGGACATTATTTACGAATTATTTCCAAGGGTTTTTGCACAAAATACTGTCAAGAAGTTGGACTATTTAATGTTCCAGAGGGCAACATCTTCCATTGTCATCTCTGTACTGGTTGAGAATTGTTACAGGTAGGCACTGTGAAGGCAAAATTTTCTCTCTCTTTTTCTTGTAAAGGTATAGTGAAGAAGCAATCTTTTAGATCTATTACTCTAATTGGACATCCTTTAGGAATCAGAGAAGGTAATGGCATCCCAGGCTGTTGAGCCAATAGGCTGAATTACCTTGTTGATAGCTCTCAGATCAGAAACCATCCTCTGTTTCCCATACTTCTTTTTGATAATGAATACAGGAGAGTTCCATGGACTAGTTTATCCTTCAATATGTCCAGCATTTAGCTGTTCCTGAACTAGCGTTTCTAAAGTCTAGCTTCTCAGAGGTCATGGGCCATTGCCCTACCCAGACAGGTTCATCTATTAGCCATTTTAAGGGTAGTGTTTTTGATTTTTCTGAAGGTGTGGCACTAGCTTCCTGTAACTGTACAGTCTGTATGTTTGGCGTCTTTTTACTGTAGTATTTTTTCTACCACTACCAGCTTGTTTATGACACAGGAGGAATGTTAATCTGTGTATTCCGTTGTTGCAATAAATCACGACCCCAGAGATTTATAGCAATATCTGTGACATATGGCCTCAATCTTCCTCTTTGTCCTTCTGGCCCAATACACTCCTTCCATCTGGCACTTAGTTTCACTTGAGTTAGGGTTACAATCCCTAATAATTGAACATTTACTACTTGTAATGGCCATCTGGTAGGGCCCCTTTTCTTGGGTAATAATATTGATGTCAGTTACATGGTCCATCAAGCCTTCCAGAATAAAGTTATTTATGTGCACTTTTAAGTTTGCCAAAATACATACTTTTTGTTTCCTCTAGTATTGACTGATTCATCCTCAGTAACTAATCTGTCATCCATAGCACTATTAGTCTTTACAATAAGCAGTAGATCTCCTAATTGTCCTGAGAGAAATCATACTCCACAGTGACTGGGAATGACTGGACCACTTTTGATATGGGGGCCTTTGAGTGGCACCTTGAGAAGTTTCCAAATTGTAAAGGGTTACCTTGTTTGTCTGTGGTCAACCTACATTCATTGGTACAGTGTTGGCCTTTGCCACATCTCCTCCATAATCCAGAAGGCTGAGGCCTTCTGTTTGAGTATTCCTAGGAGGAACATTATTTCTAGGAATGCTTTGCCTACAGTTCCTACTCAGATGTCCTATTTTACCAAAGTTAAAAACATCTGGTTTTATGATTTCTTTTTAAACTTCTGGAGATTGATTCTCCAACCCAAGTCTGTATCTCCTCATGGTTAATGCGTTTGTCATCTTGGTGACTCTTTGGGGCTTTAGAAATGTCCTCTCCAATACAGGTTCCTGTCTCTTGCCCATTATACTCTATGTTTGCTGTATTTAATACCCATTCATCTAATGGCACTGATCTAATTTTTAATGGCCAGAGTATTTGTTTACATTGTAGTTTGCGTTCTTGTAAGCTAGAGACTCTTCAAGGATTTTGCTAGATTCTTTGTCAGATACTTGTAATTCTACTGCTCTAGACAGCCTTTCCAAAAATTGAGTGAACTGTTCTCTTAGACCCTGTTTCACCTTGGTGTACATTTGTATTTTTTTTCTCCTGGCTCATGAACCTTATTCAAAGCATTCAGAGCTGCTGTATGGCATAAAGATAGTGTATGGTCGTCAAATTCAGCTTGGGCCTGTGAATCAGCATACTCACCTTTACCAAGAATCTTATCTCAGGGAGCCTCAAAACCTTGTGTCAAGCCTTGAAGTTCGAGGGCCTTGGCTTCCTCTCTCCACAAAGCCTTTCATTGTATATGGGAAGAATTGTCCCACACTGCTGAAATTAAATGTCTCCAATCCTTGGTTGTTATTTTGTTTCTTCTTTCCCAAGAATTCATCAATTCCTTGACATAGGGACTATGGACCCTGTAAGCTACTATTTCCTGCTTTATTAGTTTCAGGTCTTTCTTCTGTATCGGTTCCCACTGGTAAGTGATGGACCCACTATGATAACTCCTTGTTGCTGTCCTTTCTGTCATGGTTACTGGAAAAGCACCTTAGGAAGAACTCCTAGGCATCTTGTAGATATGCCTCTGTCATTGTCTGGTAGTCTAGTGGCAAGTGCCTCTGAGTCTGATGTATCAAATGATGAATCCTGTAACGATTGCAACCTCGTAACCATGGTATCTTTGAGTGCTTGGATTTCCTGAATCAAAAATTGTTCTAATTACCTGACAGAATCTGTACATTCCTTACTCATCATTCAAGCATGATTCCAAGCATTTCATACTGTTGTCCCTAGAGCTCGAATGGCATGTAAATTGTCATCTAGGAATATCATCCTATCTGCTAAACTGCCACTGCCTTCAGACACCAAATGAATTGTTCCTGCTAACTTGGTAGCTTCCTTCTTACTGGACTCTATTTTGGCTATAAATGCAGTGGACATGGAATCAATCATGTCTTGAAGGTTGTTCTGGTTAAGTTCCAAATTATCTACTATGGTAGTCAATTCCTCCTTTTCGTGAAGATTCTGAATTTTGACTCTAATTTTTTAAATCATCTATACAATTTTCCCATTATCTGTCTTTTTATTTTCTCTCTTTCATGTGATTTTATGTATTAGGACACTAACCATGAGGATTCGACACAAATACATTTGAAATACATCATAATTGTCTCCTAATACATAATCCATGACGTTGGCAATGAGATAACTAATGTTCTGCATCATTAAATTATCTGCCATGGTATAATCTAAGTACACTTACACCTGTAATTAGTTTGGTTTGAAAAGAGGAATGTCACCTGCTGTTAGCATCGTTGGCCTGCAGACGGTGCAGGTGTACCACCAAACACAGCTCTTCCCCAAAACTTCGGTATTTTTTTCAGGTAACAACTGAAAGATTCTAAGCAGCTCTTACAGAAAATTAGAAAACCTATTTGGGGAGGGAAAAGTCTGTGCAGATTGGGAGACCTGCAGCTATAAAACAGCCGTGAAATCCTTTGGACAGAATAGGGAAATTGCACTCAATGTCCCGGATGAGCTTGGAGGCCAGGCAGTTAGGTAGGCTGGAATTGGAACAGTGGCAGGCTGGGGTCCAACCGCAGCAAGCTGGAATCAAATTGGCCTGGAATCACAGTGGTCTGGAATCACAGGGAGCTGGAATAGGACCATGGCGGGCTGCAATGGAGGTGGCGGTGGTGGCAGTGGAAGCTAATGCCCACTTGGTCTCAGACTGGAGAGAGGGCAGGAGGAGGGGGGGGGCTCGCATGCTGTGCACCTTTCGAGATGGTGTCCTACGGGTAATTTCAGCAGCGTTAGCAGAGCAGCACAAACCAGGTCTGGACCTGGCATTACCAATTGCAGCTTGGTCTGTGGGCTGTTCTTTCAGCGTATGTGCAGTCTGGTGCCTCCCCGAGCTGTCTGACTGGCCGGCCAGTGGCACAGGCTCCTGCCTTCTTGGAAGTGTGGTCTTCTGACACCAGCTGAAGATGAAACAATGCAATGCGGAAACAAGAATATGTATTAACAGGACAAATCACTTAAGTTATAAGCTGGTAAGATGAGATGCTTTAAGAAACGTGGCCAGCTTCAAAGAGAGAGTAATTTACGTTCTCTCTCCTTTTATCACCTACCTGTCCCATGTACCCCTGTCCATGCCCTTTGAGTATGTCAGCATTCCCCTACAATTACTGAAGTTCTTCTGCCTTTGGCCTACTGGAGCTGGCATCTGAAACTCAAGATGTCACTTCCTAGGTACCACCCACCAACTACAGATATAGTATCTATATTTTAGACTAACAAATAAAGGGTTTCTTGTTTACCTCTCTTGCTTTTCTGGAAAACATGTGGTCTTGATCAGATACGGCTGGGATGATAAAAACATTGCAGACTGGAAGGCGTAAGCCAAGGCTCCATAAAATTTTACAGCTCATAACCCCTTTTGCACAAGGGATTTTTAAGTGACTAGAGTATACAAGCAAATATAATAAAACCTCATATTTACTGATAATAAATCATAAAACAGCCAATTATTTGGCATATGTACATAATCTCACCACTTTATAAAAATTAAAACAGATTCAGACTAATGGTGTGGTTGTGCTTATTTTTACATACTTATATTTTGGCTGAACATTTCATACTACAAATGTAGGACACCTTCAACATTTTCTGGAATTGATTGTTGTTTTGATTTTTATTCTAATTGTCAATCCTTAAAATGCCACTTTACAAAAATATGTATTACAAAATGTCAGATGAGTGTTTTGGGCCATTTCAGAAAGTGTTAGGAATTTTGTCCTAATTCTAAGCCAAAATTCATTTAAGGAGATTTTTAATGGCATACCAAGTCATTAAATCAAGGAGTAATTTTAAAAATCAAACATAATGTTCTAACTTCATGGAAAGCTGTACTAATTTGAAACTTACATTATAAGAATGATTGTAGGAAAATATTAAAGTCTATGTTTTTCATAATTAAACTGTGATTTTTCTATGAGAGCAGAAAACTTTATACGCACAGTAAAAACACCGTAATTCATAATGTATGCTAGTCTCAAAGCTGAGAAAAGATGATTTAGGTGGTATTCATTGGTGTTTCACAGCATGACAGAATGCACAGTACCAAACATATATGTTGTATGTTCAGAACCCAGGTTGTGGTGAAGTCCTACAATACAGCACAGGTGAATATTTTCCCAAACACATTTGTTCATTACATTTTTGGATTAACTCAGGTATATAATGCCACTTGGGGTCATGATCCACAGTTCAACAAGTAGAGGCTTAAATAATAGGAGTTATGGAGGCTGAAAGGCTAGGTCCAGAAGGCTCTGTTCTACTGAATGTATTTTCTTATTTCTCAAAGTTTTTTCTTGCAGATGCGTGAGGAAGAAGAGAATAAGATTCCCTACTCTCTGCATGATGATTTGGGATGCATACTGATAACTTAATTAACTTTAATTGTCTTGTTATCCCACTATAGCCAACACTGGCTTCAATTGAGGAATTTGAGTATATGCAAGTTACATACACATGAAATTTATATGAAATAATCTGTCTTCGTGTCTTACTTTTTTGATATAGGGTTTCTCTATATTGTTTTGGAGATTGTCCTTTAGCTCGCTATGTAGACCAGGCTGGCCTCGAACTCACAGAGGTTTGCCTGCCTCTGCCTCCAGAGTGCTGGGATTAAAGGTGTGTGCCACCAACGCCTGGCTATGTCTTACTTTTATGTAGGTCAAATTCTTAACTTCTGACTCCTTTGTATAATACCCCTTTGTTTTGAAATACAGACACACAGACACACACACACACACACTCACACATGCACACACACACATACACATGCACAGACACCCCTCTTCTCTTCATGGACTAAAGATGAATCAAGGATATGATTTACCATCAAAGAATTTAGGCAGCATAGACTTCAACATGACTGTAAGAGACTGAAATTATTTTGTTGATCCACAGGGAATCTCAGAATAAGACTAAATCACTTCACGTAGGTGAAAGCTTATAGTGGTAGTAGTGTAATCTGTCCTCATCTTTTCAGAATAGATACTCTCCTGTAAAACAAGCAAACATCTGACACTTTATTGCAGTCTTCTTCATGTACCTGATTTCAGTTTCCGGGAGGCAGCAAAAGCCCATTTTGAATTTAATCATCAGTTTTTTCTCTATATTTTATTAGATTTTTATTATGCTTGGTATTACTCATTGTTTCTGATTTGGGCATTTGACTTTACAAATATATCCCATCTTAGGTATATGAGGATCTATCTGTGTTCCAGTCTATTTTCTTTTTAAACAATTTTTTTAGTGGTATTTTTGCAAGTGGTCTCAACTCTGGGTTTTGACATGCTTGTGAGTAAATGAAAGTAATTATAATTCTTACTTCACAGGATCAAATACTCTCTCAATGCTGTTGTTGATAATGGGGCAACAGCCATCAATCATAATTCACTGATTAGAACACTTGAGTCACAAATCCAGTTATTTACAGGTGGAGAAATTGCAGCAGGATATTTCACAAGAGATCTGGGTCACTGTTATCACAATAATCAGCAAATGAAATGAAGCCTCACTGTACTGATAACTCCATCTTCCTTCTATATGGTCATTCATTGAGCATAATATTAGGATTTTTATTATATATTAAGTCATATGCATGTTCAATTTTGCTGCTTGGCATTTATTGGTTTTTTTTGGGGGTTTGGTTTTTTTTTTTGGTTTCTCTGTATTGCTTTGGAGTCTGTCCTGGAGCTCACTTGGTAGACCAGGCAGGCTGCTATCGAACTCACAGAGATCTGCTTGCCTCTGCCTCCCCAGTGTTGGGATTAAAGGCATGTGCCACCAACACCCTGGAGGCATTTATTGGATTTTAACAACTCATCCATATCACTTACTAATAGTCAAATAATGTAGTTTTGTTTATTGAGGGAGAGGGAAAAATTCACGTTTCATCAGAATTTATTTGCTTTTGTTGTTTGTTTGGTGAGTGGATGGGTGAGTTTTTGTTCAGCTTTTGCCTTTTTTGTTCTAGCTCCTGTTCCTAATACTGTGATTTTAGTTAGGGACTGCTTCTTTCTTTCTTTCTTTCTTTCTTTCTTTCTTTCTTTCTTTCTTTCTCTCTCTTTATTTCTTTTATTGACTTTTTTGTTGTTGTTGAAAATAAATATTTGGTCATACCATTTATCCTGATTGTACTTTCTCCTTCCTCCTCCTCTTTTCAGGTTCTTCCCACCTTATTTCCCTTCTCCTCCAGATTCACTCCCTTGATGTCTCTCTTTAGTAAAGAGCAGGTTTCTACGAGATAACAACCAAATATGACAAAATAAAATATAATATGATAAAGGAAAAGCTTTCATATCAAAATTGCACCAAGCAATCCAACAAGAGGAAAAGAATCCTAAGAGCAGTCACTCATTCACTTTGTCAGGAGTCCCTTAAAAATACCAAACTAATAGTTACAATAAACATGCAGAGAATCTGCTATTGACCCATGTAAGTTCTGTGATTGCCATTCCAGTCTCTGTGAGCTCATATGTGCCATGTTTAGTTGATTCATCAGAGAATCATAAGGACATTCTTTAAACACCTGTAATTCACCAAGTTGTAAAGTCTAAAAGAGATGGATGACTTTCTGGATAAGTACCACTTACCAATGTTAAATCAAGATCAAATAAACAATTTAAATAAACCTATAACCCCTAGTGGAATAGAAGCAGTCATTAAAAGTCTTCCAGTTACAACACAGCAATCCCAGGGGATAGGACAAGTGGTTTTACTGCAAAATTCTTCCAGAATTTCAAAGAAGAGTTAGTGTCAATACTCCTGAAATTATTCCACAAAATACAAACAGAAGGAACATTGCACAAATCATCTTATGATGTCACAGTTACACTGAAATTCAAACCACATAAAGACCCAACAAAGAACAATTACAGAACAATTACCCTGTTGAGCATGGGTGCAAAAAATGAAATACCTACAAACCAAATCAAAGTACACATCAAAAAGATCATCCACTACGATAAATAGCTTTCATCTCAGACATGAAGGTGTGGTTCAATATATAAAAATTTGTAAATATAATCTACCACATAAGCAAACTTAATGAAAATCAATGATCATCTTATTGGGTACACAAAAGATGTTTGAAAAATTCCAACATCCATTCATGATAAAAGCTCTGAAGAGATTAGGGATATAAGGTACATACATAAACATAGTAAAGGTGAGTTACAGAAAGCCTATAATAAACATTAAATTAAATGAAGAGAAACTTGAAATAATTCCTCTAAAATCAGGAACAAGACAAGGCTGTCCACTTTCTCCATATCTCTTCAATATAGTACTTGAAGGTTTAGCAATAGCAGTAAGACAACTAAAGGAAATCAGAAGGATACAAATTAGAAAGACAGAAGTTAAAATACCATTATTTGTAGAAAATATGATAGTATACCCTAATAGTGACCCTAAAAATTTCAACTGGGGTGCCCCTGCAATTGATAAATACTTAGACTGGATACAAAATTAACTAAAAATTATCAGCAGCCCATTCATATACAAACGGTAAACAAACCTAGAGAGAAATCAGGGAAACAACATCTTTCATGACAGCCTCAAATAAAAAATGTCATTGGTAACTCTAACCAAGTAAGTTAAAGACTTGTATGATAAAAATTCAAGTTTTGGAAGAAACAAATACCTCTTCATTTATTTGTCTCTCCAATTCTTGTCTTTTTTCTCTCTAACTCTTCTTTCTGTTTCTGTGTCTATCTCTCTCCCCAGTTCTTGGGGGGTACAGGCATATATACATTTGCAACAGTAATTATTTTTATAATACAATGTGAGGCTTGAGTTTCTCAGGGTCATCAAGGCAGATAAGATTTACACACAGGGCAACAAACTAAAACTGCTAGGAGAAACTTTTAGCATTCATTACTTAGGGATCTAGGTCAAAGAGAGGATCTAA